TCCTTCCGAGTCCTTCCTCGTTCCCCTAACCACCACCACCACCACCACCACCACCACCACCACCACCCTCCATTCTTCGTTCCCCCAATCTTCTCCTCCTCCTCCTCCTCCTCCTCCTCCTCCTCCTCCTCGACGGGGCCAGCGCGCGACGACGACGGCGCGGACGACGACAGCGGCGGCTGGCCGCAGCGTGTACGTCGGCCAGCTCGAGCTGCTGGGCCCCCAGAACTGCACCGGCCCGGGCTGCCGGCAGCTCAGCTGCCAGCGCCAGCGGTCCCGCACCGCACACCAGACGGAGAGCAGCGCGTCCTCGCGAGTAGAAGGCAAAAAAAACACGCCCCCATAATACGTAACCACCCCGACGCGCGAAGCCGTTCAGTAAGCGCGCCCAGAGAAGGAATCGAACAGGGCAGGGCTGTTCAGTAAACGCCCAAGGCCGTTCAATAAACGCCAACTGTCTGCTCCGGTGGGTTTTCCTCCCTTGAGCGAGAGGAGGCAAAAAATATCGTCGTCGTCGTCGCAGGAGGGGCGAGCGGGCAGGACCGCGCCAGGTGGGCAGGACAAGAAGGGCCGCAGCGAGTGGAAAAGTATAGGGATACTCCCACTCCGCGATCAAGTGCTCTCGAGATTCTGCCATCGCAGTGTAGGCGGGAATGGGAAGGAGGACGTGGAGGCGGGGGACTGAGAGGGAGAAGGAGCAGGAGAGAAATGATTAGGGGAAGGCGGAGGAGCAGAAGGGAGGTGGCGCAGCGTCGGAATCGGGCGACTCTGACACGCTTGCCGCCGCTGCCGCTCGAGTAGGACGCCGCGGCGGCGATCGAGAGGGCTTCGGAGGGGAACGACAAAAACGCAACTCCGGGCCGCGGAGGCCTCGCTCGCAGCGGAGCAGCCAGAAGGGACGGAGCTTGTGCGACGGGGAACGCACGCCTCCGCGACCCTGGGGGTGCTTCCCGCCCGGGCGCGCGTGGCACAGGCTCTGGGTGTGGGGGTGGCGGGCCGCGGCTCCCGTCAGAAGTGCTGGGGCAACGTGCGGGCCCCCCGTGGAGGCTCGCAGCCAGCGCATTACTCCGAGCTTTTTACTAAGCGTCGGGGGGGCGTCACCCCCGCCGACAGCCCCACATCGACCCCCGTCGCGGGCAGCCACCGCGCGCCGAAGGCGCTCCGACCCCCGTCGCGGCGCGACGACGAGGCGAGGTTGACCCCCGTCGGGAGGGTATTCCCCCTCTCGCGCTTATCAAGAAACCCAGAGTAGGCATCGCACCAGAGACTTCCTCACCCTGTACGATATTGGAGCCTGAAACTTCCAATGCGTACACGGATGGAGGGCTAGTCGTCTTCGCTTGCCGCTCTCGCCGCAGCCCCGCGCACCTTCGCTTTCAAGGTACCCGCAGCTGCTACACGCACGAAGGGCGGGTCCAATTCAAGATGTGGCTTCCGCCTTAGGGAGATGCACATTCGGTCTCGAAGTTTCCAAACGTTCAACAGATGGGAGGCGTGTCATTTCCTAGATGCGGATCTTGCCGTAGCGCCACGCACAAACATCTTCAAGGCTTCCAGCGATTATGCTGATGAAGGGCAGCCCGTTTTCAGTGTGTGCCTCTTGCGTTTGCGCTGCGCACATTCGTCTGAAGGTTTCTAAAAGCTACGCAAATGGATGGCGTGCCGTTTTCCAAAGGCGGCTCTCGCATGGGTGCCGCGCGCATTCGTTCTTAACGCGTCAATGAAGTATACGGATGGATGGCGATTCCTTTCAATCTGGGAACATCGCTTTGCATGCTTGCATGACGCTTCATGGCCAGAATTTGAAAGTGTTGCAAAAAGATACACGGGTGGAGGGCGGTTCCATTCAAAACTAGGCTCTCGCTCGATAGCAGCATCGACTAAGCTCCCGCCTCTGTTCGCTGCAGCTCTCATCGCTAGAAGGGTATGGGGCGGATCCTTCTCAACATAGGGCCGTTGCCTGAATGGCAGACCCAAGAGGCGCCCGTCTTTCAAGATGGCGCTTCCCGCCATGAACAGACATGCGTGCATTAGCTTATGAAGAAGGGAAGTGGTACGGAGGTGTATTGATTGCATCATCCATGCATCCTGGGCGTCTTCATCCTCATCCCTCCCCTTTCGCCCTCATCCCCCCCCTGCTGCTGCTCCTCCTCCTCTTCCTCCTCCTCCCCCTCCTCCTCCTCCTCCTCCTCCTCCTCCTCCTCCTCCTCCTCTTTCTCCTCCTCCTGTTGCTGCCATTCCTCCTCCTCCGCCTCCTCCTCCTCCTCCTCATCTCATCCTCCTCCTACTCGCCCTCTGTTCCTTCTCCTCCTGCTCCTCCTCCTCCTCCCCCTCCTCCTCCTCCTCCTCGTCCTCCTCCTCCTCCTCCTCGTCCCCATCCTCAGCATCAGCAGCAGCGCCATCATCATCATCATCATCATCATCATCATCATCGCCATCATCATCATCTCACCATCATCATCATCATCATCATCATCATCATCATCATCATCATCATTTTCATCATCATCATCATCATCATCAGCAGCAGCATCATCATCAGCATCATCATCAGCATCATCATTTTTTTCTCCCCCAGCGAACACAAGCACACGATGCCCGTCCATGGGCAAGACCATCTCGACTGAGCGCCAAATTCGCTTCCCTTCAAAGGGGGCTATAACCGCGCTCACATATGACTCGATAGCGGCAGGGCTGTAAACTGGCCGGCCGGGTAAACGTCACCACATGCAGGGAGGAAGGGGAGAAGGACGAGGACGAGGAGGGAGGACGAGGAAGAGGAGGACGAGAACGAGGGAGTCGACCTGCGGTCTGGCGAATGCGCTAGCCAGCACGGGCCTCCCGATACGAATTCCCACTTAAAACGTATCTGTCAAAACGGGCCGTAGACTGGTCATGCCCCAGCGCTCGGGAATCCCCCGCGAGCGCAGCTCCGGTGGAGCGAATCAAACGCACCATCACGCTATCAGAAGGTGGAGAGGCGGCAGCGGCGGCAGCGGCAAGGAGGGAGGGAAGGAGACGGGAATGACTGGCGACCTACCGTGCCACACTAACGGCGGGCTGCTCTAGCGGAGTCCTTCGATTGAGAAGTTGTCCAGACCTGGAGCTTCCAGCATTCGGGGAAGAGCGAGGAAGGGACAGGCAGAGGAGGCGGAGAGCAGGCCCGCCCCAGCAGGGCAAGCCGGCGATCCGCTTCCGGGAGGCGAGAGCGGGAGGAAAGAGAGGAGGGAGAGGCGCAGCACCAATCGGCTGCACGACGCAGAACGTTCTCCAGTCCATCGGCCACGCGGCCGGGACAAGGGACACGATAGCTTGCACGGCATCGCTACGAATCGGCGCCTCGCCAGCCGACAACCTGGCAGCGCCGGCCGAGTAAACGTCACCGCATTATGGGTGCGCACGTCGGCCTGCACTGGTTGTTCTCCTACGCGCTGGCGGACGATAAATCGACGGGCTGGCATCCCCAAGAACTGGGTAACAGCACGACTGCACACTTGGCTGGCAGCATCTCCTCCCGGAGTGTGCGAAAGACGTGTGCACAAGGAATAAGTGCCCGAATTTCCGCCCCAGGAGACGGCCTTGGTCCAGCGCAGCACCCAGATGGGAGGAGGGGGGGAGGGAGAGGAGGAGAGCGAGGGGGGAGACCAGCAACCTTAGCTACCGGCGGCGGCGTGGCTGCTGTGCGCGCGCGCCCGCGTGCGCTTGCGCAACGGCAGACGCGGCGGGGTGGCCGCGGACCAGCTCCAATACGATCTGCCCGAGCGTCGCCGCGGTGGGCGTTCCGGGTTCCGCGGCGTGTCTCGCCCGGCAGTGCGCCAAGTACACCGCCGCGGTGCGAATGGCCGAGCGCAGGACGAAGTCCGCCGGCAGGGTCCTCGGGGAGGAGGAGAGGAGGAGGAAATCCGAGAGGGGCGTCGTGGAACGAGGTATCGCTAGGCTCCGCCACGCGAACTCCCGGACCACCCGGCAACCTGCATAGTGCTCAATGGAATCCTCACAAGCGCACCCAAAAACACAGCGAGAGCCGCGCTGCTGGAAGCGCCGGCCCGTGCACCATCCATTGAACCATGTGCGTAAAAGAGCGGCTCGTACCCGCGGAGGGGCAGCCGTCCGAAGGGTGCCAATGACCTGCCGCGCACGCGGGGCGCGCCTGGCCGGCGGCAAAAAATCGAGGCGCCAACGCTGCATCCGGCGCCGCCAGAAGCGCTCCGCCTCCTCCACCGACGCCTCCTGCGCGATGGAGAGGCACGTCCGTTGCCACAACTTGCGGCGTTTCTTGGCGCGGGCGTCGTCGTCGAGCTCCGTGTCGGCGGCTCCCTCAATGCGCTCCCGCACCCGGCGCGCAGTCCAGCCCAACTCCTCGAAGTGCGAGATGGCGGCGTCCAAGTGCAAGATGGCGGCGCTCTTGAGCCAGCTGTCCCAACCCGCCCGGCGGAGTTCGAAGTCGCAATCGGCAATGGCCCTGCGAAGCTCCCGGGCCCGGCGCGTCGTCTGCAGGCCGCCCTCGTTCGTGGCTTCGTACCGGGCCACGCGGAAGCGGGCCGCGAGCGAGAGCTTCGCAAGCTCGGGAATGCTGCCGGAGAAGCCCATCGAGCTCGGATCCCTCAGAATGGACGGGGAGATCCACCCCCGCGGGCCCGGGAACAAACGGCCCACCGCCTCGCGCTCGACAGCAGCCCAGTCCGCTGGGGCGGGGGGAAGTTGTGCCACGAAGCCGAGCACAGAGACGAGGTAGATCCTGGCCACGAGCAGCGTGAGCTGGAAGCCGCAGCCGACCTTCCCCCACATGGCGGCCCTCTCGAGAAATTTCTCCATCGGTTTGTCCCACGAGAGGCCTTCGCTGCTGGGGCCGAGGGTGAACCCGAGGTACTCTGCGGCGTGCGCAATCTTCATCGCGCCCCACCTGGGAGCGCAGGCTGCGATCGAGTCCCGGAGCTCGGTCAGGTCGACCGGGCGTAGGGGGACGACGACCGACTTGCCCGTGTTCAGCGCCAGGCGGGATATCATATCATACTCGTGGAATAGCTCCTCCAGCTGCGTGAGGTGCAGGTGCAGGTGGGGCGTAACGAGGGCGAGATCGTCGGCGTACGCCCGCGGGGTGGCGGTGGGGAGGGGCCGGCGGAGCCGTCGAAGTAGGAGGTCCGCGGCGATGGCGAACAGCAGCGGGGACAGCGGGCAGCCTTGCCGCACGCCCGCCGAGAGCGCAAAGCCCTCGAACCTGTGACCCCCGACGACGATTTGGCAAACGTTGTCGCGGTAGAGGGCCGCTACGAACCTGCCGAGGCTCGGCGGGATGCCAATCCAGTCCAGCAGCTCCAGCACGAAGGACTGGTCGATCGACGGGAACGCCGCCCTGAAGTCGAAGAAGATGCAAGCCCCGTCCTCCCGAGACAATGCGGTGAACCGCATCTCCGTGTCGACGTCGATCACGTTGGCAAGGAGAGAGCGCCCTCCGACGAATCCCCGCTGGATCCTGGAGACCCAATGCTGGAAGACTGCCTCCAGGCGGAAGCGGGCAGCGTTAGCCAAGATGCGATTGTCGAAGTTTACCACGTTGATCGGGCGCACCTTGTCCGCGTCGTAGAAATGGCCAGCGACCTCGTCGTAGCCCGACTCTTTCTTGGGCAGGAGGTGCAGGAGGGAGAAGTTGAAGTCGGGAAGGTGGCGGCGCTGGAGCTCCTCGCCGTCGGGGCCAGACAAGCAAGAAAATGCGTCGTGCAAGACGTCGACGCCCAGCTCGCCCAATTGCCGGTACGCCTCCGCGGGGATCCCGTCAGGTCCTGGAGACGATGACCCCGAGCACCGGATCGCCTTCTTGATGTCGTCGCGCCGCACTTGCCACCGGGGAGAATCCACAGGGGGCAAGGAAGCGCGAGCGTCAGGCGGCAGGTCCTCCTCGAACCAGCGGCGACGGAGTGCTCGATCCGTCGGCCCCGCTGTGAAGACCTTCTCCCAATGCCGTCTGAAGTCCGAGGCCATGTCAGAGGGCTGCGTGTGAAGCGTACCATGCTCGTCCCGGGTCGCTTGAACGAACTTGCCCCTTCCCGGCGAGAGGCGGGACAGGAGGCGCAGGTTCCTTTTCCGGGCGCGGTGCAAGACCTCTGGGGGGGTGTCGAGCGACCCCTCCTGCAACCGCGTGAGCTCCGCGATCGCGTGGGTGCGAGCCAACTCCACCGCGTGCTCGCGAACCGGGATGAGGCCGCGGCCTGCGGCCAGCGCAGGGTCGTACGGGTTGGGAACCAAGGAGCAGAGGTGCGGGTATCGCTCGATCGCCGCCGAGATCGCAGATGTGGAATGGGACTCGACGGCCCGAATGAACGCCATGGTGCAGCCCATCTGGTCGTCGGGGGAGTCCGCGCGGGCCGCGCGCGGCACGGCGTCCCCTGTGGTCGCCACGTCGCGGATGGCCACGCGCAAGAGGGCGAGGCACTGCACGGCGTTAGTGGCGGAGTTCTCCTCGCAGAGGGTCTGGAACCGGAGGGCCGCGGCCTGTGCCCAGCCGGGGCGACGGATCGCTTCTAGCGAGATGGGCTTGCTGGCAGCTGGTTTGGGCGGGGGTGCGCGGCGCGCGAAGAACACGGGGCGGTGGTTGGAGACGCCGAAGGCCCAGTCGTCCACCCCGATTGTGATCTGGCGGTCTAGCAGGTCGGTGGCTTCCAGGTTGACGTAGACCCTGTCAAGCCGGGACCGCGCTTGGGCGGACTCGTGCGTCATGCAGGGCTGGTGCACCTCGGAGAAGGCAGGTAGAAGTCCAGACCAGTGGGTCTCTTCCTGTCGGTCCCGCTGGCCCGTGGGAGCCCCCGTGGATTTGCAGATGCGGTCCCTGGCCTCGGCGACCCAATTGAAATCGCCGGCGATGATGGACAGCGCCTCGTGTGCTGGACGTGTGCTCCGTGCGACTGCAGCTCGAAGACGAGCGCGTTGCTGGCGGAGCGGGATCACCTCCGCTTCGTGCTGGGGCCCCACCGGGGCCTCCGAGGGGGCCGCGAAGTCGGTGGCGGTGCCCGTCTGGAAGTAGGTCACGTGGAAGTCCACGGCGCCGAGAGGCCCGTTCAGTCGAAGGACAGCGGCGCGGCCTGGGTGCACGATGACCCAGTCTCGGCGCGGGAAGTGCTCCAGAAACGACTCCTTAACAACCACGCCGACTCCTCCGCGCCGCACCGTCCCAGGGGCCCACCACGCCTGGGAGCCGTGCGGGGCCGCAGTCAACAGCGTGGAGTCCTCGGTGCCGTGGGACTCAGTGATCATCACAACGTCGTGCTGGTGAAGAAGACGCTCGAGGTTCTTCCACTTGCTGCTTTGCCGGATGGGGTGCTTAGCGAAGAGCGCCTGCGCGTTCCAGGTGCAGACCGAGAGATCGCCCCGGAAGGGGTGACCAGCGCCGGCTGCCCCTGGTGGAAACGTACTGGCTGGGGTCGCACGTGTCGGAGGCGTCGCAACGTAGGTCGGCGGTGCAATGCCAAGTGCCCGTCGGAGGAGCGCACGCTGGCGAAGCGACAGCGGGACGTCGCAGTGGCGGCGCTCATGGAGAACATGTTCATGAGGGGCCGGAAGAAGAAGAAGAGGTGGCAGATGAGAGACGTTGGCGGCGGCGGCAATCGAATTCACCTCGGCGCCGGCGTGGCCTCTGTGGCTCGTGGGCTGCGGGGAGTCCAGGAGGTACAGTGCGACGTCCAGCATGAGGAACATGCATCCTGAGCCGTCGATGGCCCAGGCCACGGCCCCAGCGGGGGCTAGTCATTGGACGGCACTGCCGCCCCGTAGCCGGTCCTGCAGGTCGTTGTGGACCCGGAGGCGGAATGTGTCCATCCCGATCTTGATGGTCTTGTCGTGGAGGGCCGCCTTGATCCGAGACACCTCAGCTAGGTCCTTCAAGAACAGGCGAGATCTGCCAGGCGGCGCCGAAGGGTCTGTGGCCGAAAGCCACTTCCAAGTGCCGACCTTGCTGCTCGGTCCGTCTGCCTGCTCAGTCAGCTGGAGGCCTGTCTGGGAGACCAGGTGGTCCATGAGGGTGCGGACAACGGCGTGCTCGTCGGCGTGGAGGCGACCCGTGATCGTGACGTCCGCGATGGCTGGGGTCGTCGACGAGGCCCCGCGGGACGTCTTGGCACGGCGGGTGGCCGCGATCCGCGCTAGCAGCGCCGAGGGGGACGAGAATGCCCGCCCTCCATGTCGCGAAGGCCGGTCCATCATCAGCATCATCATTACCATCATCATTAGCAGCATCCTCATCAGCAGCAGCAGCACCAGCACCTTCATCCTCAGCAGCAACATCTGCATCGTAATTCGCCGGCCCAACGGGCCAGAGGCGTGCTAAGATCTCCGGTAACTGCTACATAATACTTCTACTTCGCGCGCGCGGGGCGGCCCCTGGGGGTCCCCGGACGAAAAGTACCCCGGGCGATCCCCGGCAGGGTCGGGTCAGAGATGGTTTTCCTCCTGGGCGCCGCCCCCGTGGCCCTCCAGAGAGCCCCAAGAAGGGCCACGAGGCCGCCAAGAGCCCTCCAAGATGGTTCAAGAGTGCTCCGAGATGCCACACGATCGTTCCAAGACGCCCAAGATGGCCCCCAGACGCCCCAAGAGGCCTCCAAGAGCACTCCCCAGAGGGCCCCAAGAGGCAAAATTCGTTACTTTTCCTTAGGTTTTGGGCAGATTTTGGCGTGTCCATCTTTTCGGCTTCCCGACGCCCCAAGACGGCCCAAGAGGCCCCCAAGATCGCCCCAAGAGGGCCCAAGAAGCTCCCAAGAAGGCCCCAAGATGGCCCAAGAGGGCTCCAAGACGGCCCCAGAGGCATCCAAGACGGCCCAAGAGGGGCCCAAGAGGGCCCCAAGCGATGCCCCAAAGGGGGAGCCCCAAGAGGCTCAGTCATGCGAAATGGGCCGGCGGAATGAGCGAAGCGATTCAATAAGCAGCATCATCATCTTCAACAGCAGCATCATCATCAGCAGCATCATCAGCAGCATCACCGTCAGCACCAGCATCACCATTATCAGTATCGTCGTCTTCTAAATCATCATCAGCATCATCATCAACAGCATCAGCATCAACATCATTGTGATCGTTAACAGCATCAGCATTAGCATCTGCATCATCAGCAGCATCAGCATCGTCATCAGAATCACCATCATCAGCACCATCATCATCCTCATCAACATCAGCAGCAGCAGCATCTTCTTCATCAGCATCAGCAGCATCATCAACAGCAGCATCATCATCAGCATCATCCTCATCCTCATCCTCCTCCTCCTCCTCATCAGCCTCATTCCCCGTTTCCCATCATCACCCTCAAGCTCATCCACAATCACGCACTGCGAATGCTACTCCACTCTCTCCCCAGATCCAGCCAGATGAGGGCAGTTTCTCCCGAGCACTGAACGGTTTAACACATGGGATTTCAAAAAGAGGCTCATCATACATTGATTGCTCAATCAGAGCGCTTTGATGTTTCAAGATGTTGTTTCTGCTGCAACGTCGGCCTCATTTTCAGATCGACGCTTTGCTCCCAACATTCAGAATAGCGCTCTCGCCGAAGCGTGGGCCACAATTCTGGATCCGAGTCCTTCCCCATCGTTGTCGCCCAAATGCTTTCTCCTCCTCCGCCGTCCCCTGGTCCTCCTGCTCCTCCTGCTCCTCCTGCTCCTCCTGCTCCTCCTACTCCTCCTACTCCTGCTCCTGCTATTCCTCCTCTTCCTCGTCCGTCCTCACTCTCATTCACTTCCTCCTGCTCGTCCTCGCGCTCATCAGCCACCCCGTCCTCCTCCGATGTACACAGCTCCCCTTTTTTTCGAATTGCGCATCACACGCTGGGGTCCCTGCGGGGGCTTCACGTCCACTGTGACCCCCGCTGGCGACAAAGAAAAAACGGCGCGACGGGTAAGGGACGGATGGGAGGGGTCGGCGGTCAGATAGGGCGCGAGCGCGCCTCGCTTGTCCCATGTCCCCTCTCCCACCCTCCTCGCTCTGCTCCCCTCTCCTCCCCCCTCCCACTCCGCGACGGCGAACGACGAGCGACGAGCGACAGCGACGAGAGACGACGACGACGACGACGACGACGACGACGACGACGACGACGACGACGACGACAACGACGAGGACGAGGACGACGACGACGACGACGACGACGACGACGAAGACGACGACGACGACGACGACCGGCGACGACTAAGACGACGACTAAGACGACGACGACGACTAAGACGACAACGACGGCGGCGGCGGCGCAATAGGGTCCTCCGGGGTCAGCTGGCGGCGCAGCACCGCGGGCGCGCCGTCGGGGCCTGGCCGCAGCAGCCACGCAAGGGGCACGGCGCACGGCACCCAGCGCGTCGGCTCGGACAGCACGTCCCGCATGCTGGCGGCCGCTTTTCGGTCGTTTGTCGTCGTCGTCGTCGTTGTCGTCGTCGTCGTCGTCGTCGTCGTCGTCGTCGTCGCCCGTCGCTCGTCGCTCGTCGCTCGTCACACGTCGCTCGTCTCCCGTCGTCGCTGGCGGCGGAGGAAGCGGGAGTCGTTACCGGCAGCGGCGGAGGGAGGAACAGGGCGGAGGAAAAGAATGGGAGGAGGGGGCGGGAGGAAGGGAGGACGGAGAGGGGGAGGGGAAAGGGGGTGAGTACCGACGAGATGGAGACGGGGAAGGAAGGGGGAGGAGGAGGAGGAGGAGGAGGAGACGAGCGTAGAGGGAGTCCCAGGGTCGATCCACCCGCCTAGGAGCCCCTCGGCACCTGGCGCTTCTCAACGCCCGTGGCGGAGGAAGACGAGGCGAGCGGACGCGCCTCGAGCGCAGGCGAGCGGGGCGCGCCTGCTGTTGTAGCTGGTGCACACGTGGTCGACGATGCCGTCGAAGTGCCGAGATTCGTTTCAATCAGAGAGCTTATTTCAATCTGCACAGGGAGCGCAGCGGTCTTAATATTCGGAGGACAGGGAGCAGCAGCGGGAGGGATCGAAGCAAAGGAGGAGGGAAGGAAGGACAGCGACGGGCAGGCGTGCACACTGTTTTCGGCGCACACGCTCACGCCGTCCTGTCCGCTGACCCCTGTTACGGGTGGGAGGCCACTCCACAGGTCGGGACGACCAGCCTTGGAACACTCACGCGAATCCCAAGAGGCGCAGACCCCAAACAGGCCAGCACGGGGAAACGCGGCGGCGGCACGAGCAGGAGGCGGCGGAGCACGCGGGGTGCGAGCACTGTTTGGAAGCTCCCCGCAGAAGGGCCCTCCAGGCCGAAACGCTGGGCTCACAGGAGCGCTGGCAAGGCTACCGAGGCTCGGGAGGCTGGGACCCACACCACCAGCAGCCACAAGCTCAACGGGTCCCGCGACCAGTCCAGGGGCACAGGCATCGTCGGGGTTTCGAGCGGGTACCTCAGTACGAGTGGATAGAGGCGAGCAGCCAGCAGCATAGTGGTAAGGTACGATCACAGACGGGGCCGCTCCAGGGCCAGAGACAACCGCCGAACCCGAAGTTGAAGCCGTACCCGAAGCACACAAGGCCGAGCTCGAAGTGTCTGCAGGGAGGACGCGCCCAGAACCAGCTCGAGACGCCAGCTCACAATTCACTCCTGAGCCCTTATTTCCATCAGAGGCGGTCGACCTCCGTGCAAGAGACGTGATCTCACAACTTACTCCTGAGCCCTTATTTACATCAGAGGCGGTCGACCTCCGAACTCGAGACGCAAGCTCGCAACTTACTCCAGAGCCGTTATTTCCATCAGAGGCGGTCGACCTCCGCGATCTAACGCCAGTGGCCGCAGGGCTCGAGGAGCACCCTGCAGCAGAAACCTGTAAGAGGAAAGAGGCAGGGTCGTCGTCTCCAACTCCGTCGGCGTCATCACCATCTTCAGAATCCATTGCTGAGACAAGTGAAGCAAGGTAGCGGACCGATCCGTTGGCAGAGACGGTGGGCAGGACCTCGCCTCCATCTCTGTCCACAAGGAAGTCGCGTACACGTTGTGGCGCAGCCGGTCCCATGTATTGCCTCATCTCTCTGCGTATCTCACGAAGTGCCTGGTAATGTCGATCAGCCGCCTCCTCCCATCGCTCGTGTCGAGTCAAGGCGTGGCGAGGGCCATTCAGCCACCGAAGGTATGCCACAATGTTGAGGCGCCCCTCAAGAGAAGTGTCCCAGGCAATCGTGCAAATATGACGAGCAAGTTCGTCGAGTGTGCCACCCCAACCAGAAGAATCCACCCAATCCAACGCGTCTAATTTGGCGCGCACGTACGGGATGCACCACAGCAACCAGTCAGCACGGCCACTCTCGGGGCCATCCAGGCGCAAGACCCAGCGCGTAGCCCTCGACGCAATACCTTCGGCAAAGACAGCTGGTGGTGCATGCTCCGGAGGGGAAGAATGCGGATGGCCAGCAAGATTCAGAACAGGAGTACCAGGTGACGGCGTCGACATCGGAGGGGTGGCAGCGCTAGGGCACATCAACTGTTCAGGAAGAGCAGGGTCCTCTCGAACAGGGAGCCCACCAGCACGAAGGCGTTCGACACGCTTGATGGTCGCTCGATATTCACGCTCGAGCCGTGTCACATCCACCTCACATGTGGTTGGGACAGTCAGCGTCGCTGCACGGACCGCGGAGAGCGCCACGGTGGCGGTCAGCGGCCACGAGAACATGGATGCCGCAGGCTGCGGCGAGGTTGCCGCGGAAACGGGCGTCCGCCCTTTCACGACCTGCCCTGAGGGCAGGGCCTCGCACTGAGCCAAAGCGCCAGCAGACAAGGGCACAGGGGACTCTGGCTGGAGAGCAGGTTGGCCGTCTTCATCTGAGCCCGTGGGAGAACCCGAAAGAGCACCACCGCGCACCGAATAACTATGCCTCACATCGTCGTCAGACGGAGTGGGTGGGACCAGGCCAGGGATAGGGGCCGCGGCGTCGGAGCTCAAACTGGAGGTGGACGAGGAAGTGAGCACATCCCACTGAGGCTGCCTGCGGCGAATCGCCTGAACATCGGGAGGAGGTTCCCACCGTTTCAACTTGTCTGAAGGTCTGGCCAGACGAGAGGTGCGGACGGCGGCCTCAACATAACCGCGTAGCTGACGAGGAGTCGACACGAGCGCACCCTGGCGAGCATGGTTGAAGACCTGGTAATAGACATAGAGAGCCTCGAAGTGGTCAGGGTGGGGATGGGTAAGGCCAAGACGCCGAGCCAGGGGACGAGGCAGGGCACGTTGTAGTCCCTTGCTGACTGCCTGGTACAATTTAGGGCAGCGGAGATAATGCTGCTGCCGATCTGGGCCAGGGCATCCGAAACGGCAACGAAGTTTACCCCGTGGGTGGATAATCCTGTAGGACGTCAGCCATCCATGCCCCCAAGTCCGTAAGGCCGCCATAGCCCAGCTTTGCGGGACCAACGCCAGAAGCTCCTGAATAGCGGGCCAGTGGATCTGGTTGAGGAAGGGGTGGTAAGCCGTGAAGAGCGGGGTTAAGTGGCGAATCAGCATAGCGTGCAGAGGTTTGTGCATACACATATTCTGACCCAGTGAGCGAGCAGCCGCACGTTGTAGCTTGGGTCTTCGTGTCGCAACCTGAGCTTCCTCACGAATAGCCGAGCGAGCGGCGACGAGTAGGGGCTCCTGAGACCTCACGTGGACCAGCTCAAGGTGTTCGACGAACGCAGGGGATTTCCAGAACGCTGGATCGACACGAGAGCGATCCATAGCAGCCAAAGGGATAGCATCAAACTTCCCCTCCACGACCTCTCTGTGCCAAAGCGAAGCCGTTTGCCGCAGCAGCCGCAGGTATTTCTCATAGCCCTGGAAGGTGTGAATAGCAGCACGAAGATGAGCAGCAGTAGCGTGGGCAGCCCACGATGGGATCTGAGGACCACCCCAGGCCGGGAGCTCCAGGACCGATTCGTTCGAAAAGAGGCCGAGGGGAGCACGAAGAACTTGGGCGATAGCACCACGCTCAATGGGCAGGAACCATTCGGGCATAGGAAGGAATTGGGCAACATAGGCCAAACAAGGGTAAACCCGCGTGCGGTATAAGATACAGTTAGTACAGACCGACGCAACCCCACGTCCCAACATCCGAGAGCGAGATCGTGCCTTCATGAGCGGGCCCCTCCAGTTCATGTCGACCGTCGCATCAGGGCCCAAGATCATCCCAAGATAAAGTAACCACCCCTCAACAGCAAAGCCTGACCAGGCACCCGCGATCGAGGCCAGCTGGGCCTGGGTCATAGTTTTCAGGGTTTCGGTCATGCAGCCAACGAGAGGGACCAGGGTGCACTTGCTGATCTTAATCTTGAGGCCCGCAATCTTTTCCATGACACCGAGGACCCGCACCAGGATACGCAGAGAGGCCAGCTCATACAGGACAGCACCTAGGTCATCGGCACAAGCACGGCATATCCCCAGCCGACGATGCTCGATGCTCCGCTCGAGGTCGGCCAGCATGGGAGAGGAGGCGAGAGCATATAAAGACCCCGAGAGACCACAGCCCTGGATGATGCCCGAGCGGATCCAGAAGATGGTCGCGTAGCGTCCCCCATCATGGACCACACCTTCCACTGCCAAATACATCCATCCCACAAAAGCAAGAACCTCGGCGGGGAGCCCAAGAGAGCCCAACAGTTGTAGCAGGAAGGCCTGCGACAAGCTCGGAAAGGCCTGCCCGTAGTCGAACCCGACGAGGACAGGATAACGGCGCTCAGCAAGGGGATGTTGAGATGCAAGCCGAGCATGGGCATCGAGCTCAAGCACGTTATGGCAAAAATTCCGTCCTCTGATGAAGCCTCTCTGGGAAGCAGGTGCCACGGCTTGGACGACAGGCTCGAGGACCCGATTCATGACCGAGCTCAGGATCTTAACGTCGGTGTTTCGCAGCCCCAGGACCCGTATCTTATCAGGAGACCGAGAACAAATCCCAGACGGCTGATCTGAGTCGTCAACACCTTTGGGGAGAAACGCCTGGAGGGTGACGCTGGCGGAGGCAAACAACGACTGACCTTGGCATAGCCACCCGAACATTCTGGCCAGGTGCTGGGCGCCATAGTCGCACGCCGACCAGGCCGCGTAGGGCAGCCCGTCGACACCAGGAGCAGAGTGACGGGCACGCCGGAGAACCTTCCGAAACATTGAGGTCAGAGGACAGTGCAGGTCGATGTCGGAGGCCTTGGTGAGGAACCTATCGAGGTACTTCTGGGTCATGACAGGGTGGGGCTCTTTCTTGGAGAAGACAGGGGTCCAGTAGGCCGCCAGGGCCGCAGTGCGCTCCCGAACCTCTGAGATGGGGCCCTCTGGGGTGTTGACCGCGGACAGTATCAGGCGCTTCGAAAACGGGGCCCATATGGAGGCCTTTCTCTCGAGAGCACGCAAAAGCGTGGCCGAACTAGGCCGCCAAGCA